AAATCTTTTCATCTAGCATAAATTACAAATTTATAATATTGAGAAATATATTTCACACTATTCATTGAAAATAAGAAAAAAAAATGGTCAACACTATGTGTATCTCAATTATAGGTTTTTGGAATAGAAAACTTGTAAAGATTCACCTTTCAATCTCTCTGCACTCTCTGCACCTAACTTCTAATAAATGTTTGTCCAACTTTTATAATTCGAATATATATACATATATATATTTCATAAAAGATCCAAATTCCTCGTTTGGTCATTAAATAGGATAAGTGATTTAGAAGAAAAATGATTTTTTTTACAATTGCACATGAAAATATCTATTTTTCTGTAGTCCCCACGATTCAATTTGTTAGAAAAAAGATATTCGGTTTATATATTTTAAGAAATAAGATAAAATATAAAAGAATATTTGATTTAATTAGTATAAGTTGAATAAGGAATAAGAAAAAAATAATGAAACTATAATTGTACCTCTTTCTTGACATACTTGATGCAATATACTTTTCCTTTCTTTCTCATCTCCAGCTCGATTTCATCAAATACATCCAATATTGCCTTATAGCATAATTGCATGTATTTTGGGAGATCAACCAAGCAACAAATATCCCACCTGTTAGCCTTGAAGTAATTGTCGAGACCGAACGGAGGAAAAGCTGATTGAGACCGATCGGTAGCCAATGAGTTCTGACCGATCGTAGCCAGTGAGCTTTGTAGTAACACAATTCTTAGAAACAACTAAACATATCTTAAAACAAAGAAACGGAAAAGAAAAACAATGGCTATCTACACCTCCTACAAGCTAGGTATTTACAAACTCAATCAACCCTAAAACTAAAGGGAAAACATTCTCAGAATTTTTTTTTACCGCTATTCTATTTTAGAAACACATATCAAAACAGTTATACCAAAGCAAAAACAAAAAAAATTTAACTATACCCTTTCATTTCTGATATTTTTTTTTCTAAAAGAAAAAAAGTCTAATTCTTTAAGCCAAATTTATTTACACTTATATACGTATTTCTAAAGAATTAAAAACTAAAAACTTACCAAAAAAAAAAGATTTTAAGACAAAAACAAAGGTTTAATTTCTTCATAAGTCCTTATTTTTGTCCAGAATTTTAAATAGGACTCTTTTTTTTTGGCATCTCAATTGAGTCCTTATTTTTTTAAAATTTGAGCAATTAAAGGTCTGCCATTAAATTAAGCAAATGGCCGTTTAAGTGTTGATTACGTGGCATGGTCAAACTTCAAGTTAATGAAACGTGACATTATAAATTAATTTTGTATTAAAAGTTATGAATGCATGATGGTGTAATAAGCTTTTTGAAAGGGCAAAGTGGAAAAAATAAAGATTTCTACTTCTCTTCTACCTCCACATTCTTGCTCCTACGTCCCAAATTTCCATGGCTGCGTTTTGGTTCTTTTGAATTGGGAATGCACGAACCTTGAAGGCGGTTTCCCTTGTAGGTTGCGATTGGGATTCTGGCTTAGAGGAGATGGATAGAGATTCACAGTGGTGCTCTGGATGCTTTTGGAGGGTTTCTGTTGTCGCCAGATTTAAGGGTTTTTGGGTTTTTCTGGTTTGGCTTTGCTAGTCCGGTGAGCTGTTGACTCATTGAGTCTTCTTCTTCTAAGCCAAGGCAAAACCTAGGCAGTCAAATATGCTTTCGGACATGAGCACCTTCCCCACAGGACTTGCCGTCGTGGCAGCCTTTCCACCTGGCTAGAGGTGTCGCCGGTGATGCTGGTGATGCCGATCGTTGCCGAA